AATAGTAGTAATAATAGTAATAATAGTAATAATAATAATAATAAGAATAGTATTTAATCTAATAGTAATAGAAAAAACAGTAATAATAATAATATTAATATTAATAATAATAATAGTAATAATAGTAAATAATAATAATAGTAATAATAGTAATAATAATAATAATAATAGTAGTAGTAATAATAGTAATACTACTACTACTACTACTACTACTACTACTACTACTACTACTACTAATAATAATAATAAGACCATCTTACTGCGGTGTGTAAGGGCCACAATTTTTTTTTATTTGGCCATCTCTACTTCAGAACAGTAAAATACGTTTGTTTCACATTAGTGAGTAATTTTGTAAGTGTAGGGAAAATGCACAAATTAGGTTTACAAAATAAAAAGACGAACAGCTTTTACTTTACAACCATTTATTGAAATATATTTCAATGATACAACGATGATGCGGTGAAGAATAATATGCATGCAGAAACCAGCTCATGGGAACACTTTCACATTTACATGAAGATACTTATCAAGTACACGTATTGTAAGATTGCCTGTGGCTGATACAATATACATGGATTGCAAGGGTTTAGGCATCAAACTGTAGATTTAGTTTACAAAGGGAAATGTATTCCTTCATATGTTTCACAAAATTAACTGATACAGGAGACAAACCATCAAACTGAATTTGCTCTGAAATAAAATCACATTAAATTTCCAAGTTTGGATACAAATAACACGATACTTGAACCAGAAACATTATGTAACTCTTTTAACATTCCATGTCTATTATCTGTTAATTTTTCTACAGCAGTAAGTCATTGAAACTCTTTCAACATTAAAAATCCTTCAGCAAGGTAGGCCAGCAAAAGCTATCCAAACTTTATTGAATTCTAGTATATAGGCAGAATATTAAGATTTCTTTAAGCAGTAGTACAGGAGGAAATAAATCAAACATACTAGGTTCAAAAGAAATTTTTACTCTCATCATATAAAAGAAAACTTTACTTTCCTATTTTACTCTCATGATGGGGGGGGGGGGGAAGAAAAAAGCCAAATGGGAGGGTTTTTTTCTTCCATTTACAAACACATACACATTTCGAGAGCATTTGGGCTAACGCCACTTTGGGCTGAAAATATTTAAAAACAGCATATCTTTAGAATTTCCGATAGACAGTCTCGCGCGTTGGAGATAAAAATGTTTTATTCCTTACAATGTTGCCACTACTCGCTTTGAAATTGTTGAGGGTGGCTCTAGATATACCGCTGTTTTTTCACAATACGAGAAATGTACATATTAAGACACAATAACACGCCGAACAAATACCAATTCAGAAGTCAAACAACAAAAATCAGCGTTATATTTTCAAAATTTTCACAGGACTAGTTTCGATGGTTTTACGGAACCACCATCCTCAGCTGTAAAACCGGAAATGAACAAGATAGGAAATAATGATTAGAGAAGATAAGAAAGCCTGGGCAAGAATAAGCAAGTGGCGCCATCTGTTGATGAAACCAGAACTAAAACATAATTTCTTTAAAGGCCGAAGGCAAAGATGGATTGGAATTAGGATCGTTAACTAGAACAGAAAGATTTTTTTGAATGTGAAAGGCCTCTAGAAAATCCAGTTCTCCAATGGAAGATGTTTTTTGAATAATTTTGGCAGCAGAAAAATTGAAAATGCGATTTTCGGACCAACAATGTTGAGCAACAGAAGACTTCTGTGTTTCCTTTTTTTCTAACGTATGCCTCATGTTCCTTGACGCGAAACTTTAAGGCTCTCATAGTTTGGCCAATGTAAATCAAACCACACTGGCAAGGAATCCTATAAATACCCCAGGAATTCATATCCGGAATGGGGTCCTTGAGTATGGAACTCGGAATTTTATTGATGGGAGAATAAATGTTGCGGTAATAAACGAATAAATGTCTTGAATAAATGAATAAATGTCTTGTTCATTTGCGGTTTTACAGCTGAGGATGGTGGTTCGGTAAGACCATCGAAACTAGTCCTGTGAAAATTTTGAAAATATAACTCTGATTTTTGTTTTTTGTCTTCTGAATTGGTAAACGTACATATGTTTATGCAAATTGTTTTATTATTTAATTTCCTTAAATATAATACAAAGCTATAATATTTGGTGGCAACAATTTGAAAAGTGATTCACACTTTTCTAGTGTAAAATCCCGTTTTGGGACTAATAGCTCCATCTTGGATAACGCCATTTGGGCTAAAAAAAAAGCTTTCCTAAGTGTGCTTCGTTAGGTGTTATTATTTGAAACCTATATTGTTTCTTTATTCTTAATTACATATGGATTGCTCAAAATTTTTTGGAGATTATTTTTTGCATTCTTTTTTATTGCAAAATTGAAAACTATATTGCGATGTATTTAAAAAAAATAATGAATTTTCCAGGATGCTATATGCACATTTATACACTTTTTTAATAAAGCACAAAATGAGATATAAAAAGGCTAAATGCTACAAGTATTCAGGAGTATTAAAATTCCATTGCCGAAATATTCTAACACTTCAAAATGTGTAAAAGATATCAACTGATAAATAGCATTTTTGCTTGAATATTTAGGCTTTAGACTAGCTGCAAACTACAGCTTTATTGAAATTTTTATTTTGGAAATGAATCTAAATAATAAAGAAATAAACTATAATAATAAAGAATAATAGATAAATAATAATAATAATAAAGGAACTGAATGAAAAATAATAAAAAAAGAAATAAATTATTTAGGAATCTTAGAGACTCATATTATTTTAATAAAAAGTAAGAAGTCACAAAATATTCGTCTCTGAATTAAAATAAAAATGATATTAAAATTATAACTAAAGTTTTCGAAATTGATATAATTTGAAACTGTTATTTTTCGTAATTACAATTACAGATAGTAAGTGCATGTCTGAATTGCTTCGTGTAAAATAAGCCAAAAATTATATTTTTTTTATTAACCAGTTAACTATGGCCCCCTCGTTTAAGAGTGCGCACCGTTTTGTGTCGCCAGAATCGAGCCATGACGAGTATATTATCGTCAATCACAGAGTAAGTTGTGCTGGTAAGATATTGGATGAAAAAGATGGGTTTATTTTATAAAACTGAAAATTGTATTACTAATATTTACTTATTTGGTTAACTGAAGCATATATTACACACATATTAAACTAAAAACGCAATAAATTAAATTAAATATTATACATATAAAAGTGAGAATTTAAATTCCTGCTGTGGAGTGATATTCAGCGAAACGGGGTACTATACACAATGGGACTTTGCAAATCGAACACCAGTAACGCGATTCCTTTCTGATCTTACGTTTGTAGCAATGCGAACACCTTCGCGTAGGGTTGTTTCTTTTTCGATGTTCCGGGTATATAATCCGGAACATGATTCCCGCCTAGTTGGCTTACATTAGGTCTAAATGGCCGAGTTTGTGTCGATTTATTTCTTTCATTGGATACGTCGCAAAAGTGTCTTCAATAAATTGGAGCAAAAAGTTGATACGCAATAATGTTTCATTAATTTTACTTCCTTGTACGAAGTAAAAAGGAAGTATTGTAATCGCGAAAAGTTTCAGGCAGCATATTTCAACGAAAATATTTATTTTGACCGCTATCGAATGCAATTTAACGATGTTTTTGCGTGATATCTGTACGTAAGGACAGAATAAAATAATCTTTTCCTTCAAAAAAAAATTATAAAACTGCTTTAAAATTAATTCTGAAGAGAATTTTTCGTGGCGTCTGTACGAACGTATGTACGTTCGTGCGTACGTACGTATCTCGCACAACTCAAAAACGAGTAGCCTCAGAACGTTGAAATTTTGTATATAGGACTGCTATAACATGTAGATGTGCACCTCGTATTTTGGTAGCAATCGGCCTCACCAAACGTATATAAATATATTTATATATATATCCACTCTGTTTACCCGGCTCAGTGATCTCAGTTTCTTTACTCTTATATGTTTGTAAATTGTACATTTTTTTTTCTTTAAAAATGATTGAATTATGTTGTTTTTATCTCCTGGTTAAAGATTTTATGCCTTTGTAAATCTGTGTGCAATATTTTTAGAATTATCAGCAATTTTAAAGTTGTTTAATTGCCGCTAAGCCTGTTTTAATGGCGGCCATTCATGTTTACATTTGAAACAGGAGACTAGTGGATTTGTTGCCAATCTAGAGAAACTTAGCTTCGCAACAACAAAGATAACGCATTCATTTATTATTGCCAATTAAATCATGCTTAATTCTTTCTGGAATTTTTTCGAGGAAATAAGCGTTTGAAATTTACTTCGTAACTTTTAATATAGATATTTTGAGTTTTTATGTATTTTTGCCTTCTCGCGAAGTAAGAACTGAATTAATTAAATGAGAAATACTCAATCGTCTGTGAAAAACTGTTTCTTTTTTGTTTTATTTGCTTAATTTCTTTTATACATAGTTCTAGCTTTATTATAGTATTTGAATAGAACATGTGGCAACGATCAGATAATTCTTTAAATGATATACATTTTGTGCATTCTGAGTTATAATATGAATGAAATATGATACTGTTAAGTAAACCTTGCGCCAGAGTGTCGCTATGGTAAACGAAATGAATTTTAAAGAATGCATTTATTCTATTGTGGTTTATGCGCTGTCGACGAAGTAGGTAATTAAATCTAATAAGTTTAAATAAAATGCAAGAAAAAATGCGTATAATTTAATATTCTGTACAAGGAAGTCATGTGGTGTACACATCAGATTTTTTTTTTATATAATATGAATGCATTCAGACACATAATGTCTAAGAAATGGAGAAATATCTTTTTGTAGTACTTTTTGAGTCGTTTTCTTGCTGTGGAGTACGCTATGATAATTCCATCGCTCATGTCCACTCCACCCCATTTTTTATTATAATCAATCATTAGCTCCGGTTTCTTTGTTATTATTTTTCTTTTCCCTGTTTCTATTTCGTTGTCATTATGTACAGTACTTACTAAATAAACCTCCCTTTTATCTTTCCATTTCATTAACATAATATACGCGTGACGAGTATACTCGTCAATACACAAAATTGTGCCGATTTTCCATGACGAGTATACTCGTCAATCACAGTTAACTGGTTAAGTAGTGATATTAGTTTTACATCAGTAAAAGACAGACGTTTTGACAGTTACATGCATCAGATGAGAGGGATAATTCCAGTTATGCAATTTACTGGCACATTCACAAAACAGAATTTAAAACACATATGTCCTTTCTTTGTCGTGGTCATCATCAGATTTCCTCCCGTTCACAGACATTTCTTGAAGTGGCATTAGCGTTTTTCTGCAGGGCGCCACCTTGTGGCGAGCGGTGTCTGTTACAGACATATCTGTGTGGGAAAGGAAGGCCATAGATGTTCGCGGCAAACTTCTGTTTCTGGTATATTTGTGATTTGGATTACGACGTATCACTGCCCTCAAGTAGCTGTTGCGCAATACAGTCTGAACCTGTGGATTACAAAATAAAATGTTAAGCTGTTAATTTTACATGCATTTTATCGACATGTGTCTATTGCATAGAAAAAAGTAAAAACAAGTAATATAATTTTTTTTTAAAGTCAACTCTTACTTAGGTCAACAAAGAAAAATTTGGTACTTTTCCGTTTCGCCGGCGCAAATCTCGTCAAGCAGACTTTTTGGCGACAACATACATGTTGTCGCCAAAAATTATATGTATTCCTCGGTTCATATCACGTGACTCCTAGTGATCTCACGTAAACTACGCTACAAAAATCTAATTCTCTCAGTAATTATTTACATTAATTTCAAGTTAAATCTTAAAATTGGAATACAGGTTTAAATGCAAGAATTATTTCAATTCGTGCGAATAGTTTACTCAGAAATTATGTAAAACTGCAGTGCACTTCCCTATTGCATTGTCATTAGAATAGATGAATTTAATCCTTGACCTTGCCTTTTCTGGCAGCAGAAAAATTGAAAGTGTGATTTTCGGACCAACAATGTCGAGCAACAGAAGACTTCTGTGTTTCCTTTTTTCTAAGATATGCCTCATGTTCCTTGACGCGAAATTTTTCAAAAAACATCTTCCGTTGGAGAATTGGATTTTCTAGAGGCATTTCACATTCAAAAAAATCCTTCTGTTCTAGTTAACGATCCTAATTCCAATCCATCTTTGCCTTCGGCCTTTAAAGAAATTATGTTTTAGCTCTGGTTTCACCAACAGATGGCGCCACTTGCTTATTCTTGTCCGGGCTTTCTTATCTTATCTAATCATTATTTCATATTTTGTTCATTTGCGGTTTTGCAGCTGAGGATGGTGGTTCGGTAAAAACATCGAAAGTAGTCCTGTGAAAATTTTGAAAATATAACGCTGATTTTTGTTGCTTTGTAAGGATCTTAAGTTTTACTAACGTTTATTTTATTTTAAATCTTTACTATCACTTCTTATTTTCTACTTCCGGCCAGAATTATAAGCGTGAAGGAGTTTATGCAAAGTTGTCTGGCGAACGCCAAGTATTTAAGTGTGGCCTTTTTGCCAAGCAGAAGAGAGGAAGCCGTGAGTTCGAAGCAGGCTGCTTACCTTAGAAGTTACGCAGTTGCTACTTTGCCTTCCAGGCCAGAGGTTTTAATCCTCTTGATAAATTAAACGTATTGTAGTGTTCACAGTCTCTGTGCTACATACGCTTCCTGTTACTATAAGGCCAATCTTACACGTGTATTATTCTAAAGTTAAATTAGAGTTTAGTTTTATTTGGATATCTTTTACGTTAGACCCCGAGTGGAGGGTCATTGTATTCCGAAGTACGGAAGTCATTGTATATAAAGAAAAATAAAGGGTTTTGTATACCCTTCGTCTGTATCCTGTCTACTTACTACAATTAGTGAACATAGCTTTAGTAAGCTCTCTGTTCTAGTCAGGTCATTGTATGTTTCCGAAGAAGGTTAGAAGAAACATTGAACCTGATAGCTTGACTTCTGAATTAATAAAGGGGAATTAACCCTTCTTGAGTTTACGTTTCTGTTTCCTGAGTTAAAGCGATTATTCGCTTACCAGTTCTCAAAGCTCCACATGCATAGCTGTAACTTCAAGGTTGTAACCCTATAAGCTCATATTTTTTACGATCACCCTGTATCTAGTTAAAAAAAGACATATATATTTGTAAGTATATGTTCAGCACATACTTGCTAAGACATGCATGTGCGGCACAGGTTTCATGCATATTGTCTTTTTTCTTGTAAAGAATTTCTGCATGCAAATATCTACTTGCACTGCCGTCCAGAATCTTAGAATAACGAAAAGTAGGTTGAGAAGGCCGCTAATCTTTCGGATCCCATACCCGATTTTGAAGATATCGTTTTTGATGTACCAAAAACGGGTTAAAAGGACTACATAGACTAAACCTTACGAAAATCACAGCGTTATAACAAAAGACGTGGTATTACACTGTCGATATCATCTCACCAAGATATTCGCAAGAGTGAGATGACTGGTCTTGGAAGAGAGAAGATGCAAATAATAATGCAATAGAAAATGAAATTCTTTTTATATCAGCAAACAGAATAATCAAGTTAAGAACGAATTCGAAGTGCCAGAGGAATATGTTAAGTGACATACAAGAAAAGGAGACGTCCTACATGTTATTGGACATGCTGCGGTAAGATACAGTGTCTCACAAAAGTGATGGGACACTTGTGCTTTACAAAAGGAAACTGCAGTAAAATAAATTAAAAAAACATGTAAAAATTTTTAGTGGGCGTGTTTCATACTTAAATTTAGTAACATTATTGCATAACATACATTTTCTCAAAATATTAAAATAGTAATTTAATAAAAATACAATTGTTTAGAACGGAGCAGAAAATGGCTCACATAAGTGATGGGACACTTATTTTCCATCAAATATTTATCCAAAAATTTTACTTTCTAAAAGATTTTAATATTTTGTTGGATTTTCCTTTGACTTTTAAAACATGATTTAATCTTCTTGGGATGGATTCCACTAATTTTTTTGTGATTTCACCCCATTCTTCTTGAAGCACCGATTTTAATTGTTGTTTTGAAGAAATGGTGTGTTTCTGAATTCTTGATTCCAATCCTTGCCAAGTATTCTCTATGGGATTTAAGTCTGGAGATGGTGGTGGTGTTTTTATTATTTCAGGACAGTTATACAGCAGCCAGAGTCTAACGTTCAAAGTAGTGTGCTTGGGGTCATTGTCCTGGTAGAATTTAAAATCGTTATGAAGGTTCAATTTTCGTGCTGAAGATTTCACATTTTGATTTAAAATGTCAACATACTTGTACTGATCCATTATACTGTCAATAAAAATAAGGTTACCAACTCCAGCGGACGACATACACCCCCATACCATAACTCCTCCTCCACCATGTTTTACTGTTGGCACCAAGTTCTGTTTGCGAAATTCTTCCCTGGGTTTTCTCCACATCAAGATTCTACCGTCAGAACCAAATATATTAAATTTACTCTCATCAGCAAATATAATTTCATTCCAGTAGTCAGAATTCTTATTTATGTTGGATTTTGCGACCAGTTTGAGTTTTCTATTCTTTACACTTACGAAGAATTTTTTCCTGGCTGCTCTATCTTGATATCCAGCAGATCGAATTACTCTTCTAATAGTTTCAGGATTAACAATTATTCCATATAATGCTTGTAAATCAGCAGCAACTTTAGGAGCACTCATTCTTCGATTTTTTTTAATATATCGAACGATAATTTGCTTTATTCCACTAGATAGCTTTGATAGTCGGCCAGGTCTTCTTTTATCCTGAATCATATGATTCTTTTTATATCGTTTAATGATATTGAAAACTGTTGAATGACTGAAGTTAACTATTTCAGCAGTTTCTCTAATAGATTTTCCACGTTCAATATGCGAATTAATAACTAATTTTCGAATTTCAGGCAAAGTTTCTTTTCGTTTAGCATTCATGGCTGCCCAGAGTTAAAAAACACAAAAATTTCCGAAACCAACTGGAGAGAAATACTGAAGACGATTTTATAAATTATTGCCAATTGCTTTTAAGTAACAATAAAAACCCCAAAAAATATTTTTATTGTAGTACGTAGTAGTATCTATTGGTGTCCCATCACTTATGTGAGCCATTTTTTTGCTCCGTTCTAAACAATTGTATTTTTATTAAATTGATATTTTAATATTTTGAGAAAATGTATGTTATGTAATAATTGTTACTAAATTTAAGTATGAAACAAACCTACAAAAAATTTTTACATGTTTTTTTAATTTATTTTATTACAGTTTCCCTTTGTAAAGCACAAGTGTCCCATCACATTTGTGAGACACTGTAGGCTCCTCGCAAAACGGGGTTAGGGTTTCCAGAAAGTAGCAAGGACAGACAGGGTTGCTATATTGGCCACAAAATTGCCCACTTGGCGACAAAATTGGCGATGTGCCATAGACAGTGCGAGAACATTCTAGAACGAATTCTTACCGGTTTTTCCCGAGAATGTTCTCGAAGGCATGCCAAAAGCTATATATACCCTACCTGTACGCATAGTACAGTAGTATGCTAAGTTCAGTAGTAGGGTCTTGAGTTCAGTGATTAACTCTGTAATGCTGACGAATAAATTGTGTTTTGATTCTTCATCAAGTTTGGTCATCAATCACTCAAAACCCACAAACCCGTAAAATTAAAACCCGTAAAAACTCAAAACAAAAGCGTATTTATTTAGAAATTGGAAAAATATGAGGCTTCAAATGAGAAAAATATTCACGGCGGCTGTAGAATTTATGTTCCTTAGAGACAGCTTTCTAAACAATGCATCCGGAAAATGAATCGAAATGTGAATGCATTATTTTTAAATACAAATTTAAGTGATGCGATATGTATTTTTAGTTCTTACCTCGGAGTTCATGAAGCAGTAGAGCAAACCAACAAAAAAACCCTGCAATGAAAAAAAAAAAATATTACTTAAATTATAGTCACACACGATTGTATAAAACTATATATTTATTGTAAATGAACGTATGAATTATATATGAATATCAATGTTATAAAATTATTAAGGGGACCCATACACCTTAAAACCCATAAGATCTTCGAATAAGTGACTGTTGCAAAAATTCGGATAATTTATTTATTTTAAAAGCAATTACTTCCAACATTTTACAGCTGACTACATAATATAGCTGCTTTGTGAAATAGTCATCCGAAAGTTTGTGTTGCCACAAATATTTTCATAATTTAATCCGCTTTGTGACAAAATGTTTCGTCATGTTTCCAGCTCGCGCGCACAGTTGAAAACATTCTGTTGCATAATTTAATTCCATATTTAATATATAGCTTTTATAACATTTGCAAACTACTGTGAACCAACAATTCTAAGAATTTCAAGTTAAATTTTTTATTTTATTTGGAATTGAGTTTGTAAAATGTATTTTATTAAAAAAAATCTGTAATGTTTTCGTTCAAAAAATTTTTTAATATTAAAATATTCATCAGATTTTGGGTTCATTTATAAATTAGTGCCCATATAAAGATTTCCATCCAATTTCAAGTATATACCATTAGCCATTTTTAAAATATCATGCGCGCAAGGTGGAAACATGACGAAAGATTTTGTCACAAAGCGGATTAAATTACAAAAATATTTGTGGCAACACAAACCTTCTGGTTACTCGTTTCCAAAGCAGCTATATTATGTAGTCAGCTGTAAAACGTTTGAAGTAATTGCTTTTAAAATACATAAAATAGCCTAATTCTAGCAACAGTCACATATTTGAAGATTATAAGGGGTTCAAGGTGTATGAGCCCCCCCTTAAATAAGCAGATCATTTGAGAAGAAACTTATCTTCAAGTTAAAGGTAAGAGATAAGGTGCGATATCGAATGATTCACATGTAGGGTAATAATTTTATGGCGACTATAAAAGATTACTGGATACAAAATTGCTTTTTAATAAGCAACATCAAAGAAAAAAATTACTCCATTTGAATAGACACATTAAATGTTTTCATATGAAAAGGAAGTCTCTGTACAAATTTTGTAACACATACCCACAAATGTAACAGGAAATACGATGTTGTCCACTTTTCTACTTTTAGACTGCGATTTCCGGTGTTTACACGGGTCTGCTTTAAGGAAGCGATATATGTCAGTGATTACTATTTTAGCAAATCTTTACCAATACCTCTCTTTATTTACTTAAAATAAAGTGATCAGAGATTTTCGAATATAGTGCAGAACAAAAGGATTTCGAAGCCTTTTTACTTAAAAGGGAGTATTGTAATCGCGAAAAGTGGGACCAAAAGTAAACTTTCTGTTTTGTGCACCGAAAAATCTGCTTTCTTGTGCTGTGGCTGAACTGATTCTCTTTGCGTAGAAACTCTAATTTTTATTTGTCAAAATTGCTTTTTAATTGCTTTAACTGCATTTGGTGTGTTATGTTTTTCTATATTCTTCAATTTTTAAAGAAGATATTTTATGTTTTTATGCATTTTTGCCTTGTAGTGAGAACTGAATTAATTGAATGAGAAATATATCTCTAATGAAATTCGAGGAAGTAAGTTTAAATGAAATGGATTTAAAAGTGTGTATAATTTAATAGGCCATACAAGGAAGTCGTGGTGTCCACATTAGATTTTTTTAAAAAAATTCTCTAAACAGCATTGTATGGAAATAAGTAAAGGAAGTTACACGAACAAATATTTAACACAGCTTGTATTCTAAATTATAATACACTTTGCGAAACGTAATTTATTTCTTCTCAGTTTTAATGCATACTAAATGCCAAACGTTACAGTTCATTTCAAAATCATTAAAAGAAGCAGAATTAAATAAGAGTTACTTCAGTTATTCGCATTTTAGTCAATAGTCTTTGGGATTAAAATGAAAATATAATTATACGAGGGTTGGAACTTTAATAGTGGCAACTATTTATTTACAAGGAATACAAAATTGATTCATGTCACCATGTTTTACAGTCCTTCAATATAGTGGCCAGCATTGTGTACAACCGGTTTCCAACGATGTGGAAGTCGCAGAATACCTGTAGCAGCGCCTGTTTTGTTGATATTTTGAATGGACCGGTCTACTGCCGCAAGAATCTCAGGAACAGTTTGGAAGCGAGTGCCACGAAGTGGCTCCTTCATCTTAGGAATTAAGTCATAGTCACAAGGGCTTAGATCTGGGGAGTATGGTGGATGGTAAAGCACTGCCCAGCCCCATCGCTTAAACAAATCGGTCACAACTTGCGCTGCATGCGGCCGAGCATTGTCATGCAAAATGAGAGGAGCGTTCTGCAGAAAGTGTCGCCGTTTTTTTATCAAAGCTGGTCGGAGATTGTGCTCCAAAAATGAGCAGTAATACTGCGCAGTGACGGTCTGCTGTGGGGGAACGGTATGCGTTAGGATGACACCATCACAGTCGTACACGAGAATCACCATAACTTTCACATTGCTGGGGTTCTGACGAAATTTCGAACGTTGTGGTGACCCTTCAGTTCTGGCTGGTACGATCGGGCCCAAGTCTCATCCAGCATAATGATACGGCGTAAAAAAGCATCTCCTTCGCGCTCATAGCGTTCCAGGTGGGTTCGGGCACCATCGTATCGTAGCCATTTCTGCATGTCCGTCAATTGATGTGGAACCCATCGTGAAGCAATTTTTCTCATGGACAGGCGTTCCTTCAGAATGTGCAGCACAGTCGTATGCGCTAATCCTGTTTGTCCGGCCAGCTGACGAATCGTTTGGCGGCGATCACTGTCCATTAGTGCGGCAACAGCTTGCACGTCTGCATCGCTGACACTCGCATGACCTGCCCGCAGCATGTCTGCCACGTTTTGGCGTCCTTCATTGAATGCTTTCACCCATCTTGCTACGGTTCTGTAAGGCAATGCAGATTCCCCGCAAGCCCCCTGAAGCCCTTGATGACACTGTCGTGCTGTACGACCTCTGGCACATTCAATTTTTATCCAACATCGTTGTTCTTGTTTTGAAAACATCCTGACAACACTTACTTTAGACCGCTAGCTAATACAAGGATTCGTTCTTCGCGTCACTCCGCATGCGCGTGACGTAGGCAGGACGAGTCTTTTTGCTGAGAGGTAAGGTAGGTATGTTGTTTACGTGTGGTATACGCGATATTCTTTGGTTTTGTTGCGTAGCGTTTTTTCAGCTGTGTTGCCACTATTAAAGTTCCAACCCTCGTATCAGACACAATATTAATGATTTACAGCCGGTGTAACGGTTAATGACTCTGAATGTCGTACCGATGGGCACAAGTTGAAATCCCGGAAAAGGCACGGTTTCTGTAAATGTATACTGTCTGCGCGGCTTGGGATACCTAAAATATACGACAAAACGGAAAATTCTCTCGAGCGGTTTGGTGGTAGGAAAAGAGAGGTGTGAGATCCTTAGACCCGTTTCCCTCGAAGATAAATATAAGCTAAAATACTGTCGCTAATAAACATAAAATTCTGTTTATAACATTTAGAATATATTTGTAGGCCGATACTGCCCTGACAGTTTTTTGTTGGGGTATGCGGACTAGAAACTGCGAAAAGTTGCACTGGCTTAGATAACTAATGCCACGTAACATTTTTTATTTAACCATTCTATATATAATTGTCAGTTCCAATATCTGATGTCTTCTAGAAAATGCCCAAACTACCAAGACTCAGGAATTTGAAGCTTTGTAGTTGAATAGTACATAATCCACACGAATAGTAGTATTTCAACCTCATTTTGGAAGGGAATATATTAGTGTTATTTGCTTAATAATGAAACGTAGGCACTTAGTTATTTTACGAACTTAAAATAAATTTCGTGTCTCAATAGATCGATTCAATACAAATTTATTTGACAAACGGAGCTTAACACCTTTTCAACGGGATTTTTTCTAAAAAAGTTTATTTTTTAAAATGTACAGTTTATTTTTCTTTGATTTTTGGACGCGTTAAACTTTCATCCTTGCGACTGCTTTTACAAAAAGAATTTTGGAAAAATTATAATATTTTGTATTTTTAAAACAATTTTTTAAATGAAGCTCCCGAGTACACTTCTCACATTTCACATCTTTAAAGATGTGATTTTGGCAACAATTTTCCTTTCTTATTGTTGTTGATAGATTTTTGATGAAATCGCATCATTTTGAATAGTTTCATTCTTTTAGAAATATGGGCTTGGAAAAAATTTTTCATCGCATTTCTTATGTCACTGTTTTTAAGAGATTGGCATATTTCATTGTCATTTATATATATATATACATAATACATTTTTTATTGATTTTTTTGATAAAGTTGTTCTGCAGAATAAACTTCTGCGCGGAAATTTTTGTTTTCTGAGTTTGTTTCATGTTATTTTTTGCTTATTTCACTATCGAAAATTTTTGCGTGATTTTTTTTTCAACGGAAAGTTGGTTAATTTTTTATTATAATAATTAATATTTGTATTAAGGGATATAGCTTATTTCATTGTAATTTTTTTCTCTTGAAATTATAAGACAAAATATCATGAATGATAGTTTGCTTTTCAGAATTTTTTGATTTTTGTATTCTTTTATGTTATTTATGGCTCATTTCACCGTTTTTAAGATATTGAAAAGTTTTGAGTGATTTGTTTTAGGAAACAAAGTTCTTAACCTCCTTTATACCACTTGAGTTCTTAAGATTTTGCAAAAGGAAGTTGGTTACTTTATTTATTAGGATAATTAATATTTCTATTAAGGGGTATTGTTTATTTCATTGTAATTTTGTTATACGTAATAACTTTTTTTATGAAGTTGTTCTGCAGAGTAAAATTATACGCAGTTTTTAAATTTAACGTTTGGTGTTTCCTTCAGCCATTTTTCCGGTACATTTAAAAGCCAGACGAAGGCTGGCAGCGAAGCTGCTAGTGTAAAATGAAAAGCACCGATGACAATTTCAACTTTTTAAAACTATTCTAAA